AGCATATGCCACACCCCCTGACATCACCGGAAATGTGTCATAAGGCCACACCCCCTGACATCACCGGAAGTGTGTCATAAGGCCACACACCTCGCCCCCAACGGTCCCGGCCGCCACCGCCGGGGAGGAAGCAACTTACCCTCCCTCTTCTCCTGCCTCCTCCTGGCTGAATGAGGGCCGGAAGCGGGGCGGCCGGAAGCAGGGGGCGGGGCTTCATCATGTGCCCCGCCCCCCGTACCTCAGCCGGGGGAACTGCGATCCCCCCCGAAATGACCTCTGGACCCGGCTGGCCTGGCTGCAGGGGGAAGTCGGGCAGAACGCCCCACCCGTAGTCCTGGGCCCCCATCTAGACACGCTGGTGTTACCCCGGCCTAGAACCGACAAAGCACAGAATGGCAACTGGTGCAGCAGGTCGCCTCAGGGCCCCAGGAATGGCGTAGTCCCCTGTACCCACAAAACATCCTCTGGGGTAAAAGGGGTCAAGAGGAGCAATGGCGGAGGCTGACCCAAGCCAAAGAGGGAACAGCGGAAAGATGGCAAGACCTCTGTTGCCAATGGCTTTGACGGGGGTGGAAACCAGTCAGAGGGTCAAAAAATACTGATTTTACTGACCAAAATTCCGAAAAAACCTGACCAAATACTGATAAAAAACTGACAAATTACTGAACAATTTAATGTCAGCCTACTGATAAGCTAGTATTTTAAACTTAAAACTAGGACTTCATTAAAAATGATGATTATCTGGCCTCCGCCAGCCCCATAGTTAGATGTGACCCAGATAAAAGGATTGAACACCTTTTTATTGATATTTTTAAGAATAGAGGACAATGTTTTCATTACTGTACAAAATTTAAGGCAAAAAAAAAAGATTCCCTTTTAAAAATAATTGAAGTAAATATGTAAGAGGCCTCCCAGTTGACAAATGGTCAGAGTTATAGAAACAGCCAGGGAAAGGTTTTGTATACAATGCAATCAATATTATATTGAGATTTTTATGCAAAATGTGAATTAATTTTTAAAGTGCTTAATTCATAAATTCATAGACAATCACCTATTTATACATAAGAATCACAATATTTATGAACAGTTCACAATATATTTAAGAGAATCACAATACATTAGTACATAACGAAGCTTCCGGATTGAGTCTTCATTTCTCTCCTAGACTTCCTCAGAGGTAAATTCTCTTATCCATCATTTTACTACAAGACAAATTTTACAAATACATATCATAAGGAAGGTGTCCAGAGGAAATATCAATCACTATAATAATATGAAATAAAGTTTCTCTTATACCAATCACAGGCTGAAGTGTGCCGCAAGACGGAGTGAGTTCCCGTCTCTAGTTCCAGCTCCTGCCAACCGAGCAGTTCGAAAGCAAGAAATTGCAAGTAGATAAATAGGTACCACTTCGGTGGGAAGGTAACAGCATTCTGTGCGCCTTGGTGTTTAGTCATGCCAGCCACATGACCATGGAAACATCTTCGGACAGCGCTGGCTCTTCGGCTTTGAAACAGAGATGAGCACCGCAACCCTAGAGTAGGATTCGACTGGCTTTTGAGCAAGGGAACCTTTACCTTTATACCTATCACATACTGCAGATAATAAAACAGTAAAACAGCAAAAACATATTAAAAACCAAACATAAAGTAATAATTATGACAACAAAACATAATTACTGTAAAGTAAGACTTCTCTTTGCTTGTACTTTATCTTTGGTTTTTTGATGAAAAAAGAACCGGCCAGCAGCCTGCCATCTCTGGTGGAGGCCGTGTCGGGCTGGGCATTGGGACACCCTAGACCGATTGTCCTGCATGATTTCAGTGTCCATGCGGAGTTGCGGCCGATGAAGCGAAGGCTAAGATGGCTAGAGAGACAGTAGCGGTGTGCCTGCGATGAAGCCACAAGAACATCATATAGGACATTTATGAGATCCTATGAGATGGCAGTCAAAGTATTATGCGGCCATGATTACGTCTACGAGCTCATGCCCAGCCCAATTATCTCTCCTTATATATAATTGAATAGTGGGTGCCAAAGTTCTAATTCTAAAATGCACTCCCTTAGTGTATGGCTGATGGCACTGCTCCTCAGCATATATCACCACCAATCAGAAGGCAAAGCCCGGGTCCCGCCCACACCACAACTGCTGCGACAACCTGGTCTTTTGCATATGGAAGCTGATTGGACTTCAGTCCATTCCACACCTCAAACTCCCCCCCCCACAAGGCAGTTGGGATTTTCAGTTGCATAACATACCTCATAGGGGAGAGGAGAATGGGTAACAATGGTTACCACTCTCCAGGTGAGGGCTACAGATAACTCAAACATACAAATGCTCTTCAGGTAGCAGAGATCAGTCCCTCTGGAGAAAACAGTGGACTCTGTCATTAAACCCTGCTGAGGTCGCCACAGGAAACTGACACTGTTTGCCCAAAGCCAAAGCACTCTCCCAGAGCCTCTTCCTAGATCCCGTTGTATTTATTTCCGCAACGGGCATTATTTCTAGTAGCATTATAAAACACATTAGCAATTTCTGTAATTATTTATTTATTTATTCATTTATTTATTGGATTTATACCCCACCCTTCCAGCCAAGGCCAGCTCAGGGCGGCTTACATAAAAAAGAATAAAACACATCAATACCAATTTAATCCTAAAATAATCTAAAAACATTCCAACACTATAAAGGTGCTATGGACGTTAGATAATATTGGGTACCTTGGCACCTTGGGAGGGGTGGGAGTCAAACCTTGCTATGCTTCCCTTGCTTCGGCTGCCATCATGGTTGGGGGGAGGGCACTCCTGAGGGTGTGGGGGGGCTTTGCTCTTAGAAGACGTGACTTTCCGCCAGACCTGCCCTTCTCCTCCTCTGTCTGCGTTCCCAGGAGAAGTGCTCTTGAGCACATTCTTGCACCATCTCGGACTCCAGATTACCAGGACTGGCATGGCAATTAGGTGAAGGGTGGATGGGACCTGCTTGAATTTTCTATAATAAGACTGTACTCATCAAAAGAATTCAGTTCTGACACGGTGACTTTTGGATCTTGCATATGCTCTAATAAACTTATCACTGCCAAAGTGAGAGTTACTGAGTGTACCTGGACCGGGGTCTGAGAGAGCTCTGAAAGAATGGTGACTGGCCCAAGGAGCAGGAGTGGGGAAACATGGGTTTACATAAGAACACGAGAGAAGCCAACGTTGGATCAGGCCAACGGCCCATCCAGTCCAACACTCTGTGCCACACAACGGCCAGAAATACCAGGGGCCATCTGGAGGTCCTCCAGTGGGGCCGGGACACTAGAAGCCTTCCCACTGTTGCCCCCTCCCAAGCACCAAGAATACAGACCATCACCTGCCCCAGTCTGAGAGTTCCTATAAGAACATAAGAGAAGCCAGTGTTGGATCAGGCCAATGGCCCATCCAGTCCAACACTGTGCCACACAGCGGCCAAAAATACCAGGGGCCATCAGGAGGTCCAGCAGTGGGGCCAGAACTCCAGAAGCCCTCCCACTGTTGCCCCCCCCCAAAGCACCAAGAATACAGACCATCACCTGCCCCAGCCTGAGAGTTCCTCTCTATACCTTGTGGCCAATAGGGGCCCCTGATGGACCTCTGTTTACTTCCCACGTGGAGCAGGAGTGGGGAATCAAACCCAGTTCTCCAGACTAGAGTTCTGCTGCTCTTAACCACTGCACCACGCTAGCTTTGTTGCTCCAGGGGAACGCGAGAGCTTCCTGCTGGCCCACAAAACACCAGTGCCACTAAGCTGAAAGGGGTGGTGGCATGCTTTGCTGGCTAGAAAGCCTGCCATGTCTGGCCCCAACTTCCACAGGATTAGGCGGCCTCACTGTGAGCCACTATGAAGTTCAAGTCCGGCGACAACTTTAAGACCAACAAAGTTCAATTCTGGGTATAAGCTCTGCATGCACACGAAAGCTTCTACCCAGAATGAAACTGTGTTGGTCTTCAAGGTGCCCCCACTGGACTTGGACTTTGTTCTGTTACTTCAGACCAACACGGCGACCCGCCTGAATCTGTGAGTCACGACGAGCCCTGTGGGGTGTGCTCAGGCTGGCGTCCTGGGGACAGGGATAGGTAGGTCACAGTAAGGGAGGAGTGGAGGTCTCAGAAACAAGGTCAGGCGTTTGGGCTTTCAGGCTGGATAAGGGCATGCACACAAACATGGGTGAAGAGGGGTGAGAAAGGGGTCTCTTCAACCCTTTCCTGTTGATTGACAGCCGGCTCTAAGAGGCGGGAGCCAGGACCGGAAGTTCCTCCCAGCTTTTTCACCGGCTTCTCAGGAAACTTTTTTTGCCCCGACATCTTTGTCTTACTGTTTACTTTTTAAAAGTTCGTGCCGCGCAGCTTAAGAATGAATCGTTCTGCCTCTCTTTAAACAATTCACCAAAAGGTAACACCACTCTTCCAAGATTTCACTCCCCCCTCTTCTTTCTATTGATTGTCTCTGTTTATTCGGGAGGGGGGGCTCTCCCCCTCCTCCCTTGTGCTTTTTCGACAGGGGGGAATGCGCTTATCTCTTTTTTCACGTTTCCGATCGCCAACTCACGGTTTTGGCCGATTGCTTCTCTTTTCAAACGCTTTTCCGCTTCATCACTCAGTGACGTCCGGCGGCTCTGCTAGTCCCCGTGCGGGGCACTGCCGCAGCAAGGGCCATTGGGGCATGGGGCGAGCCTCAATTTCCGACCTTCGGGCCGGTAAAGAGGCACATCCCCTGTGTGCCCCGGATCGGAACCTCACCCTGAGGCTCCTTAGGGTCTCCGCTTGTGCGGATTCCCCCCCTTAACCGCGCGTGGGCGAATCGCCTCCGGGAGCCTCCCAAAGTTGCGACCGCCATTCACAGAGACCAAACCGGAAGTCAGGGGTCTCTTCAACCCTGTGCTGAATTCCAGGACGTGACAGGAAAGGCCTTTGAGCAACTAACTATCCTTGAGGGCAACCCTGAAAGAGAAGGGGTGGGTGGGGGTCCTGTCCCCATGGAAAACCCAACATGCAGAAAGGGGCTCTGAGTTCCTTAAGCGGGAAGGCGCTCTAATGGCCCCTCTGTGAGTCGCAGCCAGAGCCACCATTGCCTTTATGGGTTGGGGTTTGGAGGCTGTATTCTTGGAACGAGAAAAGTTGGGCAGGGTGCTTCAGGTTATCTTAATAGATTTAGAAACTGGATGCTGTAAGGGTGCCTGGTTACTTCTAAAAAAAATACTCAAAGTGATATCAAATCCACGTTTTCTTTGTTTATATTGATTATTTATTAATTACTTTGGTTTTTACTCCGCCCTCCCCGCTGAGGCAGGCTCAGGGTGGCTTGCAGAAAAAAAACAATAGTTAAAATAACGATATAAAACTTTATACAAATCACAGGCATACCGGAAATACAAACTTAACATATGTCTTCAAAAGAGCCAATATGAAAAACTGCTTTGAACCTTTTTATTCCGAGTTACAGAAAGGGCACGGGCCCAAAGGGAAAGGTTTCTTGGTGGGCGGGGGCTCAGAGTCCCTCCAGCCAATCCTCAAACAAGGCACAGGCTGGCCTCTGAATCCGAGGCTTCCCTTGGACACCCCCCCCTCCCCGGATGCCAGAGTGAGGATTTCTACCCTTGCTCACTACTATTCAGGCACGTTTATCAGAGCAAGCATTTCTTTGGTGCTTTATAATGATTTTATAAAGAGCTTTTTGTTCAAAATGAGGGGGGGGAATGCTCCGAGAATGGGGTAGGTAGGGGGAGGCTTTGTTGCCCTCACAAGAGCCGGGTGACCTGGGCTGCCCGCAGAGAGGAAGGACAGATTTCCACTGAGAATGATCCAGGGAAGACGACTGGACCGCTGTCAAGACCCAGCAGGCTCCCTGCTCCAGTTAAATACGTCCAGACCTGCCATGGGATTTAAGGCCAGCGGCACGCCGGTTTCAGGGGCGCAGAGACTCCGTCAGCTCTGAGCAGCAGCAGTCCTGAGTCGTCTTCAGTGTTGCCCCCGGGAGGCGTCGGGCCCCTCTGCCCCTCGAGGGTGCTCCTGTGGCCCAGGCGCCCTCCAGGCAGAAGGCAGGTCCTCTCTGGCCCCGCGATCCAAGCCGAAGGCCGAGGCCCTGTCAGGACAGCACTCCTCTGATTGTTGAGGCTTCCACTCTCTTGCAGGTAATACAAAATAATTTGCTTTAAAAAGGTTAAAAAAATGTTTTTTTATGGAATGTTCCCGTGTCTTTTCTCCGGCACCTTCTCTGGATTTTTCACGTGGCCAGCTTCATCTTCCTGGGGACTCTGCCGCTTATTTCTAGTAAGGAAAGACAGTGAAATTATTCCACCTGGCTGTGACGGCCACGGCACACCTGCCTTGAGCACAACAGGTGAACGCTATCGTCAGAGTTAGCAGCCGCTGAGAGGTATCAGTTTAAAGCAGGAAGCTGTGAGCCGCAGCAGCTGAGGAATTCCCCCAAATTGGCTTGTCCCATCCTCATGTCATTTCCTGACAGGGCTCCTAAAAGAGAGACGTCACTTCAGAAGCAGCGTCAACCCTGCCCCCCCCCCCCCACACACCCGTGGGCTTGTGCAGCCGTGACGGCACAGAATGCGGCTCATGCAAACAGCTGCCGATGAAGCACCACCCTGCTCGAGGCCAAGAAGACGCCCAGCACAGGTGCCCAGGACAGAGACCCCCATGTGTGTGTGTGTGTGTGTGTGTGTGTGTGTGAATCCAGAGTTATGCTGAGTTAATGTGATGTTCAGAGCTCATGTTGAGCCCAAGACTATCCAGCTTCCGGCCTGATCTGGACGACCTCCCATACTGCCCCCCTCCCTCCCTGCCCTTCCTTAGGGTTCTGGGCCCCGTGGCCTCTGGGTGCCGCTGGAAGTCCCAGGTGCGGCGTCCCCTGCCTCAGACCTCCAGACTGAGTGGCAGGAGAGGCTAGACAGCTAGACGGGCACACTGGCCTTTCTTCCCTGTATCCACTCTTCTGCCACTGTCCTCTTGGATATGCAGATTGTGATCTCAGGGGCCCATGGCCCTTTCCTGCTTCTCCTTCACCCTGAATGGAGACGTGCTGTCTGCTGGCACACACCGAGAGAGGGGGGCATGCGGTCCTCTCTCGGCACCACGAGGCAGACGGGCCCCTCCCCATCCGCCTCCATCCTTTAGCTAGTAAGTTAGTAATCCATCCGTCTCTCCTCCTTCCTCTCCAAAGTGTCCTTCTCCAATAAAGAGAGGAGTTTTTCTCTTCTAAACTTGCAACGTGGCTCTGTGTAGCTTTGTAAACTGAGGACCCTGGAAGTGACGCTCCTGCGTTTGTGGCTTTATTTAAGCACTCTGCTAACGAATGGTGACTGGACTGACCACACCAGTTCACCTCAACAGGTACGCTATACCGGCCGTGGCCTCGGTCCCCGCTGAGGCCTTCCTCGCTGCAGCTCTCCCTGCCACCCCCACCTCTTGGCCAGCTGCCCACCAGCGGAAGGGCACCCCTGAGGAGAACTCCAGGGAGTGCTGAGGCAGGCTCTAGGGCCCGGCCCGGCCTAAGGGGCAGCCATCAAGTGAATCCATTCCCTCTCTGCTGACTATTACTGGGCTGGGGAGTCCACAGCACCTGGAGGCCAGGAGAGCCAGCGTCCTTGGCGTGGTGTTCCTCCTCTCCCTCCTGAGACTGGGGGTCCAGCATTCTGGGCTGCAGCTTCTTTCCTGGAGAAAGTGGAAGGACAAGTGAACAGCTGGATCTGACAGGTGTGCCTGCTCCCTTGACGTCTGTCTCTTTCTCTCAGTGGCTGAGCTCTGCCGGAGAGACAGAGGAAGACTGTTCAGAACACTACCCGGGGAGGAACCTACTCAAAGGCTTCAAAAGGGGGTTTACTTCCCATCTGAGGGGCTCTTGTTTTAAATGTGGAATATCAACTATGCCCCAACTTTTATAATGTTGAGGCACACCTAATGGCCAATACAAAACCACTGACAAAAAGTTCTTTTCAAAAGTCTTTGTCATGTTAAAGAAACAAATGCTCATGGTTCTTTAAAGAATGAAAATGGTTTTCTGTTTAGTGGGAGCAAAACAGTTCCATGTGGGAAGCAAGCTGCACTGCCAAAGTCTCACCAGGATAAATTGCCAGAATTCTTTCCCACATGATGTTAATTTTTTTTGTGGGGGAGCACCTCTCTTTCCTCCAGCCAAATTCCAGCTCTCTCCCTCTTGCCTTCAGCCTGAAATTGGCAGCTGGTCTTGCTTAACAAAGCCCTGAAAAGGAGGTCCATGGATTATTAGTGCTACCAGCAAAGCCCGTGTTCTCTGGGCTCCGAATACAACCTCAATTCAATTCAACCTCAGACCTTGAGCACCAGAAGATTGTCCTTCCTCACTGTTTGGACGCGAGGGGCTGGAAGGAGTAGAAGGCACTCTGCTGCCGCTGCTGCCGCCGGACTCATCCTGGGACCCTTATCATTCGAGAAAGGAGACCAGAGAGCTTCCGGGGTGCAAGGGGACGGCTGATCAATTGGAGGCTTACTACAATGATCCCTTATATTCTGAAAAAACCCTGCATTCAAGCAAAACATGAAAAGATGTGCCAATCCTATTAAGGCCACAAGGGCAAATTCTATCGGAATAAAGCCTATTCAGAAATCTCCCCTGTAGAACCACTGAAGGTATAACATTCAATCTTGTGAATAAGAAAGCTCCACAGTATCGTGGGGTACACATGGAGCGGAGTAAAGATCTGGGGGGGGGGGAAGAGACCAAAAGACGGGGGTGAGCAGACATGGCAGGCTCTTAAGACCAAACTGCTGTAATCGGTTTCTTGGATATGCTTTTTGATCAAAGAAAACACTTTGGATGTGTCCATATCAGAAATATGATTAGACGACATTCCAAACTAACATCAATTTCTCAGCCAGGGCTTTCATCCAAATCAATTTTTGGATACCCCACTGCAGAGTGGCGAGCAAGCCATCTTCAGCACAGAATGGTTTTAGTCTCAGTTTGAAGGCAAAGGAGCCATGGCTCTTACTTCTAGGGATATTTGTCCAAATTCTCCCCGCAGTACAATGTTTGATACACAACAGGGAACATTCAGTATTTTTCTTTCAAACTGGGACACAGGTCGATCAATATTATCATAGATAGCTTTGAAGCTATAAAAAATAAGGGGGGACCACTTTCAAGTTGAAGGCCTGGGCAGCTCCAGGAATATGCCCCCCCCCCCTATTATGAAAGAACCTGTTTATAGCATTTGCACGTGGTTTTGCTTGGCTAAATGCTGTTTTAAGTTGGGAGGGGGGGTTCCAAGAGAAATCTGTCAAGAACACGATCCCCAAATCGGAGAAGGCCTTAATCTGCTCAATATTGGACCCACTGACTGACTGACCACTGAAGGGGTTCCATTTCCTGATCTTGGTGAAAACTAAGATCTTAGATTTCAGACAATCAAGCATTCTCGGGAACAGCAGCTGGAGAAAGATCACAAGGCCCTTTGCAGACCGAACCTGGTTTGAGACAAAACAGCATCATCATCCACGTAAAGCAGGACAGGGACACGAGTCTCAGCCAAGCTTCGGTGGGTGGCAGGAGCCATCCAAGACTGATGCGAAACTGTTCAGGTACAAGCTGAATCGAGAAGGAGCCAGCAAACATCCCTGTCATAACGCCCCCCCCCCCGGTCCCTGCCACTGTAAGCCAGAAGGCGGGACGGCCAGAACTCTCCCTTCACAGCAGCCCAGGAGACGAAACTGCGTCCGGCATCGTGAACGTCTGTGGAGACAGACGGAGGTGGCCGTCACCTTAAATCAATGACAGGTAGAGTTATTATGACAAGTGAGAGGCCTGCTCAGTCGTGGGAATGGCAGGAAAACAGGATCTAGGGACGGGCAAGACTTTTCACCATGAACTCTTGGGAGAGCCCGTTTCCACTGCTGGCTCAATCCCTGGCTTCCAAAGTCCAGCCCTGCCCCTCTGTTGTGTGTCCAGGTGGCACCTGTGTGGACTGCCACTAACCCGGCTGGCACTTGCTCCTGTGCGTACCTCCAGCACTATTCATTGCCCAATGCCAGGCAGCCCACTGTCTTGCGCTTTCCCCCTTTACACCTCCTTCCTTAAGATCCCATGGCAAAGGGCACACGTTTCCCACCTCCCAGGCCCGTTCTGGAAGAGGAAGGGAACAGGCAACAGGAAAGACTTGCAGGTTAGAGGCATTTTATACAGAGCAGCCACTTTGCCCTTTTAAAATTTCAAGCGCCAAAAGGTTCACCTAATTCCGCAGCTGAATCCAACGGCTGCCTGGGACCAGACCAGGGAAGGCGAAGGGCAGCTGACAGCTCCGTCAACAGCTGCTGCTCCGCTCTCTGGAAGCAGACGACGGCAACAGGACAGTTAGGACCACCCGATTCCAGGATCCTGGTTCAGTGACTTTCCACACATATATATTCCATTTAATTTGCTACATCGAAGTCTGGGCAGGCTCCCAGGCTTGCCCCAAATTGCACAGATGGGGCTTCATTTCCCCACCGATTTTTTTGACCCTCGTGAGCTCCTTCCCTGCCCCCACAATAGGGATGTAAAATTTATGGAAATTTTGAAGCTCGGAAAAAAACATGGGTTTTTTCTGTTTTTTTCGGGGGCAAAACGGGAAATTTTCGGAAAAATTGAAAAAAAGGCTACATTAGCACTTCTGTTACTTTAGGAACATAAAATATGACTATGGACATTTTTGCTTGGCATGAAACTATCACAACTAGCATATTAACAATATAGTGTATCCAAACAATTATTACAAACAGAATACCCACCCACATGCAAAACTGAAACCTTTTTCTTTTCTTGTGGCAATAGCACCTCCTAAAGGAAGAAATGCATTTTGTTCTTGCATTGGAGAGTTCAGTTTGTAACCTAGGATTTGCTTGTCCTCAGTGCACAGAAATTAGATCAATCTGATACCGTACGTATCTTTTAGAAATGATTTGAAAAATATCTTAACACCTTGTCCTAAAATATTTTATTCATCATGTTAAAATAAAACGTTCCATAATCAATTTTTTCTTTTCTTTTTTCAATTTTTCCAATTTTTCTTAAAAAAACAAAAAGGGCTTCAGGAAAAAACCAGAAAAAACCCGTTTCCACCCCAAATTTTTCCGGTTTCTTTCCGGGCCTTCACATCTCTACCCCGCGATGGCTCTGAACCTGGCTCCTGGAGGGGCCAGCAGGTTTTTGAGACAGATTTCGACGTGAAAATCATCTGCGGTCCGACAGAGCACCTTTGGTTCCCCCATGTTTCCCGATGCTGCACCACGCTTCCAGCCACAGCCACGAAAACGGCACAGAGGCCCCTGGGAAGCCGGGAAGCCCCAAAGTGCCTAGAGCCATTTGGACACGAGAGCTGAGCGGGTGGCCCTTTTGGTTGTGTTTGGGGAACTCTGCTTGGCCACCGCAAGGGGGAGCATTGTGTGTGGGGGGAGGGGAGGGGACTGGAAGAATAAACACACTCCAGTTATTTTGGATCCACGCTGTTTCTCCAACAGCCACAAAAGTGGCTTACAGCAGTTTGGGAGTGCAGGAAAACTACATCCAATAAAGTCCTGTAGACAAAACAGCACCAAGGTCGTTCCTCAGAGAGGAGCCAGGCCCCCCCGGCCCCCCAAGGGGAACCAGCCATTTAAAGCTGGGAGGGCCCAACACTGCGACGGGGGCTGGGCAGAGTGTGTTGCGCTCCTCTTGGTGGGTCCCACGTTTCACCCAAGGCCCAGCACGCGCCTTTCTGCACCCCCACCCCCCCGCCCGGTTACCATTAGCTTGTTCTCTAGCTCTGTCCCCATGAGGTTCAGGCACACCATCTTCTGCTTCAGGGCGGCTAAGCGGCCCCGTTGCTGGACATCAAACCACGCCCAGACCCTCTTTGGCTTCCACAGAGTTCTGGCAAAACAAAGCAGGACAATTAGACCTGCTGGAGATTTCTTTATAGAAGGATTCTGTTGTTGACCAAGAGAGGAGGCCACTGTGCCCGGGCAACAAGGGGAGCACCAGCCTTCCATGGGGACCGGTCGAGATGGGCAGCCCTGTTAGTCTGTCTGGAGTAGAAGAAAACAGCAAGAGTCCAGGATAGGCTTACCAAACGCCGGCGGGGGAAATCTATTTCCTGGCAGGATGCGTGCCGCGGGGGACGGCTGTGCGCGCTGCACCCGCCGTCGCCAGGATGTGACGCTCCGCGTTACTCTGGCAACGGGGCTGTTTGGGTCCCGTTGCCAGGGTAACGCGGAGCGTCACATCCTGGCGACGGCGGGTGCAGCGCGCACAGCCGTCCCCCGCGGCACGCATCCTGCCAGGAAATAGATTTCCCCCGCCGGCGTTTGGTAAGCCTAGTCCAGGAGCACCTTCAAGACTAACCAAATTTGTGGCAGGGGAGGAGCTTTTGTGAGTCACGGCTCACTTCTTCGGGTATCTGATAAAAGTGAGCAGTGACTCAGGAAAGCTCATACCCTGCCACACGTTGTGTTAAGTCTTGAAGGTGCTCCTGGACTCTTGCTCTTTTCCGCGGCACCAGCCTGAAAGTGCAATGATTTGTTTAAGCAGTGATGGATTCTAGCAACGCCCAAACTACCCCAGCTGGACCATTCTGTGGTTCACAAAATGAACAGGACGTTTCCACAGAGGAAAGGAGGCCTGTCCACAGACTGCGAGGAAACCTCCCCCCCCTTCGTGGACAGAAATCCTTCCATCCGTCCGTCTGTGGAAATGCTCTGTTAGATCCAACCCACTAAATGTGATGAGAAACACACACTGGAATAGCAACGGCTGGTGGAAGTCACCTTCAGTCCGTTTCCCACACACAGCCGGAGCAGAAGAAGTTGACTGCTAATGCATGTACCCTAAGTGTGCCTGACACAATCACAGATTCCGGTGGGTCACTGTGTTGGCCTGAAGCAATAGAACAAAGCTTGAGTCCCGGGGCACCCTGAGGACCAACAAAGTTTCATTCAGGATGTAAACTTTTGTGTGCACACTCAAACCTTATATCCAGAATTAAACTTGGGTGGTCTTCAAGGTGCCACTGGACTCAAACACAATCACGGTAATGCACTGCAAATAACCATAGTAACAAAGAAGATATCTGTAACAATACCCTGGTTGACAATCCAGAACAAACAGGAAGATTTTCACTGAACTCATAACACAGAAAACGTGCGACCCTCACACACTGGCTCAACAACAACACAAGATGCACCCATGCATCATTGCAGATTGTGTTACTGCCGTGCTAGAGCACTTGTGTGTAACTAGATGAGGTGGGGGGTGACAAGACAACCCCCGTGGCAAATGATTTCTTGCGTGCCATGATCGCACAATATCCTACCATGTTTGGATGCAATTGATGTCTCACACACTAGAGAAAGCAACACTCACACTGAGGTCTGTCACACCAGAGCTGTGCATACTGCAAACTGCCAGAAAAAAAGCATCTGAACACATTCAGACTCAAAGATAACGGAAGTAGTTCAGAGGAAGAGATGCTGCTGCTGGCGGAGGGACTCAACAGGCTCAAGAAATCCCTCCTTAAAGCTAGCAGCTATTATTAGGGACACTGCAAAAGAAAGACCCGTCAGGGAAAAAATATCTTCTGTAGTAAGATTTGTTACCCTATAAATCTGCCCTTCTGTAACATCCCTTTTCTGCGACCCAGTCTCTGCTTTTGACCTTGGCTTGAATGCCCTAAACCAGGCAGTGAAGTGCCAGAATAAACTACTATTGATCAAAGCTGCTAGTTTCTATAGTTGCTTTCATTATTATAACAGCAATAACTAATAAGGGCCTTTCATAGTAATAACCCTCAGACATTTATGCAAATAACAACAGGCCATTCTAAGCACTTTGGCGCGCATATTAATCTGAGAACAAACACATTCCTTCAATGACAAGCAAAAAGGAGATGCAAAGTTTGCCTCAATCCCACAAACATCAAATGGCCACCAAGTCATATAAAGCAAAGGAGCTGCTTCACCTCACCTTTCCCAGCCAGCGGGGGGAGCGTTCGGAGGGTCTGGCCGGTCTCCTTCCTCGCAGTGCCACTTCTTTTGATGTCTCTGGCATTCAGTCCTTTCTGTTAAAAGACCACTTCGCTATAACCTCCGGCTTGCTTTCACAGGGCTTTTATCGCCAGCTCTTTAAGCCACACATTATAACAGCCTGTTAACTGAGATTTCTTATCAGCACAACACAGCACACACCAAATCAAGTCGTTAAAAGTTCCTGCAGAGCGACAATACAGCTCCTTTATACACCCGCCGGGTATACTTCTGGCAATGTAATTAAAAACTGTAGAGCTAGTTATATTAAAAAAATAGCATTTTTTTTTAAAAAAATCTCTCCCGGATAATTAGATGTATGCTTCTTAAAAGTCTGCTCACAACATAAACACTGGAAGGCTGGTGCAGTGTTGTGCTTAGAGTGTCTGCCCAGAGGGTCAAGGAGGCTTGGGTCCAGAGCCTCACACTACCATGGAAAGCTTGCTCAGCCCAATCTACTTTCCAGGGCTGCCGTGAAGATAAGAACGAGCGAGGGGGAAACACGGAGACCGCTTCGAACTCCACGTGGGGATAAAAACTGGCAGGACCCAGAAAACAGAACTCTGCTCTGTCCTAAGATCGGGCAGACGGAAGCCGTCTGATGCATTAAGTTCCGGAGGAGGTGTACAATCAGAACACTCGGAACGCCTGCATCGCCGCCAGGGTTCACAATGTTGCCTTCCCCAGCCGCTTCCCCATTTCTTGGCCTTCCCATGACGGACTGCCAGCACTTGGGGTCAGGGCTGAGACACAAACCACGGCGAGATAAATATAGGGGAACTGGGAAAGCAGGAGAAGGCGGGTGGGTGGCGGTGGCAGCATTACGTTGCATCCCCAGAGCTGGTCAAGAAGAACTGGAAGCAGGACCGAAGTCCTGTTCGCTTCTTAGAGACCAAGGAGAGGGCTGGTCCAGAGGCACGGAAACGCTTCAGGGGGCAGTGGTGGGGCAGAACGGGCTTCACTGCTTCTGGCTAACAGTCGGGGATTCCAGCTGGGAGGGGGCCTTTCTGAAAGCAGCACACCAGGGAGGGAGCGCCCTCCCCCTCCCTGGGCTGGCGGGGGGGGCCCCTGGCCACTGGCAGGCGGTTTTTAATCAAGGGCTGCCTCCCAGCATGATCCTCTGCACACCTCTGGCCACAATCTGAAGTGGTCCCGAGAATCATTCCCCCAGGTCTTTGCCGCCTCATTCTCCTGCATGTGTGAACAGGCCCACATTTCCTGATGAGTAAGACCCACTGTACTCCGTGGGACTTAGCTCCAATAAACAAGCACAGGAGTGTTTTCCGAGCATATCGTAGATACAAAGAGAGGCAGAGTGGGGTAGTGGTTAGAGTGACAGACTCAGAGCTGTGAGACCAGCATTCGAGCCCTCCCTTTCTCTCAGAGGCGGGGAGGGCCAAGCCTGCTGCCCTAAGACGTTTGGGGAAAGTGTCAGATAAAAAAAATGAGACTTTTGCTCACTGAGAAGGGAAGCCCGTGTGTTACCAGCATGATTTCTCTGGGGTATAAACTGATCTCCATGGGCCTCTCAATCTGTCAATTACTATTAAATCCAGATACAAATAAGGGCAGCTTTGCGCCCCCCCCCCCCCAAGCAGCATACCCTGCAGCGCTTTCCATGCTGCATCTTCATGACTCTCTTGGATCTTGGCCACTTGCTCCAAGTAATTCCGCAGCAGCATCTGGGCTCGGTTGCTGGTCATGTAAATGTTCTCCATGGAGTCTTCCTTCAGCATCTCCTGCAAGGCCCCCTGCCATTCGCCACAGCAGGAAGCAAAACAGCCAGTCAGTCACAGGATTCCTTCTGCTGAGCTCTTTAGAGAAGGGAAACTATCATAAAGACCACGAGGAAGTGGGCTCACCCATTCGCCCACCAGTCCGTTTAACACGTGCCGTCGTGTACCAACAACAATACATTTCTACTATCTACCCTGGTCGTGACAGAATCAAAGAACACAAATCAGACATTAGAAATTGCAGCATTCAGAAACTGGCGGGGGAACATTTTAACTGCAGATCTGAAATTCACTGTTTTACACACACACACACACACACTCTGGAGGGAAAATGGTTTCAAAGGTGCTGAATGTGTCATCCTGGCCTAAACAGAGACTTGGAATTTCTTAGTCCCTAACATCTCTGATAGCTCAAGAGAATCCACTTTTTAGAAACTTTTAACTGGCTGATCTCATCATGTTGTATCGTACTATATAACCCTTTACTAATGCCATTTAATTTTCTTGTGCTTCAGACTGCATCAGTTGTTTATCCTCTTAATTTACACTTTTGTTTATCTGCACCCCACAGAACCTCTGACCTTTCCCCACCGTCCACCACGCCCTGGCGTTTATTTATATCCTACTCCCCTCCCGCAGTCCGGACTTAGAGCGGCTTTTAAGGACATTGTTCTCCCCTTCTCCAATTCCCCACAACAGCCCTGTGAGGTAGGCCAGGCTGAGAGTTTATGACGGACCCAAGGTCACCCAGTGAGCTTCCAGAGCAGACACGGGGATCCAACCCGGGGTTTCCCAGGCCTCCACTCTACCCACTACACCACAACTTTATTTGTTCCGGTCCCTTGTACAGAGAGTCACATCTGAAAGGTTAGATGGGTTTACACCAAGGATCTCTCTGCCCCAGCTCCCCTCACCACTTGTGTCCTTTTCTTGATAAACATGAGAGAAATTATTTTCTCTTCGCAGCGTTTGAAGACGTGAGCTGTGACTCATGAAAGACCACCAGACTCCCATTTTATTCAACACAGAAACCTCTCTATGTGGGGTGTTTTTCAAACTTGCCGGGAGGGGGGGGGAGGAGGTTGCTAGCATGAGCCTAGCTTCAGGTTTGACTAGGGAGCCTCCCATTCCTGAAGAGCAGGGGGGCTCCAGCCAGTGGGCAATTCCGTACAGGGGTCAGGTGGCGGTGGCGAGATACCCTGAGAGTAGAAGAAAAGCCTCTTCGGGTGCTGAGAAAAACCGAGGAGGGCCGGGCGGAAGAGGACCCGCACGCCAGACCAGGCACCTTCTGCCCCACAGCCATACCTGGACATCTTCTTCCTCGCCTGTGTCATGCTTTGCAGCGAGATGCCGAGCGTGCTGGACCAAGGCCTGGCCAACCACTGGCTGCAGGTGCTGCCGTAAGAACTGCAGGCTCTCTTGAGTTTCTGCCATCAACTGCTGGTGGAATTCCAGTCTGGTCTGCTGCATCTCATTGTCCAGTTTCTCCCCCTCTTCAGCAATGTGGAATTCCTTGTAAACAGAGAAAACCATCATTCCTCAAGCAAACACTGGCCTCGGGGGCCTGTATGTCCAGACCTGGATCACAACGAGATTCGAGCTTCACTAGATGTCGTATCGATGCGGTCCTGCAGATATGAGGGTCCAAGGCCAGAAAGGGCTTTGTATGGGATACCCGATGCTTTCAACTGAGCCCGGTAACAGATGGGCAGCAGGTGGAGTTTGTGGGAATCAATTTAGGCGAATGCTGATAGGAGTTGTGGCAGTGGTGCGGGGGGCGGGCTGCAAAACAATATCTGTGGAATTTGCGGGGACAGCGATGTCAGTTTCCTTCTACATAAAGTAAATCTGAGGCAGATTTGTAGGGTCCTGCTTAAGCAAAAGACTAACAAGGGCCTCGGCCACACGGAGCATTAGGCACGCTAGAGAGACGGAAGATAGGTGGATTTTCCGGGCGCGATCTCACCGTCACATCTGGGAAGCGTAGAGCTCCCGTGGTGAACCCGAGGCTTCCCGCCGAAGGTGCGCGGTTAAAAACTAGTACCTCCGAGGTACTAGTTTCAGGTAACTGCAGGGCAAGGGCGGGCATCTGACCGCGTTTCCGGTGGTAGTTCCGGCGCCCGCCCATGCCCCCACGTATAAAGGGTTTTTTTCCCAACTGTCCATGGGATGCGCACGAGCACCCAACGGGGCATGCGCATACTTTGGTGTCCGGAGAAAAAAACACCCGTTTGCCACGCCGCTTCTTTGCCGTGGCGCAGGATTGTGGTGTGCTCGGCACCTCCCCTCTACCACGGGACCTCCATGGTATGTCTGCTGGCACAACCGCGCGTTATTTTACCCCGGGGAAAACAACCATGCTTCCCCCCCTCATTTTCCTGCCCGTGTGCCTGCGGCCAAAGTCAGGCAAAGTAGTGTTAAAAGTCTGACAAAGATGGTAAAGAAATCCGTTCGTAGAGGCTCATAACTTTATTAAATAACAGTTATAAGCTCTTAACAAACCCTTGGCTTGTTGTTTAGTGCAAATCATTACAAAATATATAGTCAATGATCAGTCACTATGTGATCAATAAAAAGCTTAAAAGCTTCTTGAAACAGAAAAGGCCTTTGATTGTGTGCAATCTAAATTCCAACTGGCAATGCTTAAAGCATTTGGTTTCGGTGATAGCTTTAACTGGGTGAGAGAACTACTTATTCAGGTGCACTGTCAGGAATAGCAATACCTGTTTCTTCATCAGCCCCAATAAAGAGGTGTTAAGCAGGGCTCTCCCCTGTCAGCTCTACTTTTTGCAACAGTGATTGAGGCACTAGAAATCTATATATGTGATTCGCCCCAGAGAGTCAAGGGATTCACATCCAAAATCATTGTTTTAAATTGAGTCTTTATGCCAATGATTTGGCAGTTTCCATGTTAGATACTGATAAGTCTTATAGGAAACTTAAGAAAGTCATTGATGAGTATGCTGCAATACCTGGATGTAAATTAAATACCTCTAAAACTAAAGTACTACTACTAAAAAGATTTAGATGTAGACAACTAGTAAAGTATCCCACTAAAGTATCCCACCATAGATTTAAATCTTTTCTGATATCTCAATTTGGAACAGTTCTTAGAGAGATTAAACTTAAATTTGATCATCTATTTTTTCTACAGTTTTCTTTGTGTGATAGAATTAGTGTGATTAAAAATGCTGGTCCTTCCGGCTTCCGATTTGGCTCCCGCGAATGGCGGACGCATCCTCGGGTCGCTCCCGAGGTCGTCTCGCCCGCCCGCGGTGGAGGAGGGAATCTGCGCGAGCGGAGACCCGAATGAGCCCCTCAGGAATGGAGGAGCTCGGATCCGGGGTGCTTTAGGGCGCACTAGGGGGGGAGTCTCTCTTTCGGCCGAGAGGTCGAGGACCGAGGCTCCCGCCATGCCCTGCCCCAATGGACCTTGCTGCGTGAGCGACCCCGTTTCACGGGGTTTAGCGGAGCCACCAGACGTCACCGAGTGATAAAGTGACCATCCGAAAAAATGGAAAAAGAAAAGATCGGCTTAACTGTGAGTTGTCAAAATGCAGAGAAAAAGAACTAAAACCGCTTCCCCCCCCCAGCGAAAAAGTCGAGGTTAATCCTCTAACTGTATAAGCGAAAAAGAAAAGGAGGGGGGGGGGATGGACTGAGCGAATAGTGGTGTTTTCCATTGATGTATTTGAAATAAAGCAAGAAAAAGTTTTGTTTCTCTGGAGCACATTTTAAGAACTTTATTGAAAATAAAGAATAAAAAAAGATGTCGGAGCTGGGCAAAGGCAAGCGGAGAAGAAGGGAGGGACTTCCGTCTGGGCGTTTGCTTATATGTGAGAGCCGGCTGCTTAATGCTTGGATTGTTTATGGTTGTGAATCTGACGGGGGATTGTGGAAAACGGAAAAGTTTGCACTGTGACAGCGAGAAGTGCCTTGTAAGCGCTTATAAAAGTCAACAGTTGCGGAGGAGGATCCAGCGGAGAGTTTGGGAGCGGATAAAAGCGAAATTGAAATTTAATACCATTCTCAAAACTGGAAACCTCCTGAAACGGCATGAAAGGAAGAGGATTTATAGCACATGAACTGAAAGAGTTAACAGCAACCCGAAGGATGATTGAAAAAAGCCGGAAGGTGAAGAAAACAGAGGAAGCTCCTCCACGTCATCGGGAGTGTAAAAGTAACCAGCACGCAAAGAAGCGGTTCTGAATGCGCCCTGAAGAGACTTTTTAACAGAAATTCAAAGGAACATTACTAACATACTAACATAGAACTACTTGTGACCGGATTGAAAAAAGACGTTTGACAACACACAGAAGAAGCCTAAGAAGAATGTTTGGACATTACTAACAGTTTAATTTACCAGTTAATATATCACTCAGCTTTCTCTTTCTCCCACTATATACCTCCCCCCCATTTTTCCTTTTAAGCGAAACACCTCCTCTTTTTAGGAGAGTCAATAAAATCTTTATTAAAAAAAAATGCTGGTCCTTCCAAAATTAGTTTTTGTGTTTCAAAATCTTCTGGTTTGTTTTTCAGTAAATATGGTTAATTGAATGAAGAATTTAAAAAAAAAGGTTTTATAGCAATCAAAGCAACATCATCAAGGGAAACAAGCTTTGCTAAGATAAATGGCATTGGCTGCCAGTGTGGACTCATCTCCACTCATACTACACAGAACATGATCTGTGGGCGAAGCCGGGGGAGGGGGGGGGGCTGTTGGCCAAAAGGGTGATGATCAGCTCTCTTGTGTGAGATGGGGAGAGAAACGACCATATCCAGAAATCTGGGGTCAGATGTGTAAACCTACATATGCAAGGCCACACGAAACCCTGTGCAGAGTTCGTGCCTACACAGGCTCTACAGGCTGTCTGTGGGCCAGCCGCCAGCTCCAAAAACCCAGCTGCCATCAAGGTAACTGCAGAGGCAGCCATCTGGCTGTAGAGGGCCACAGGACGGGGCTGCAAAGACGGGTGGGCAGAAGTGTGTGTGTGTGTGTGTGTGTGGGAGCTGCATCGGCAGAACCCTACATGCCAAGGAGGGCGAGAGTCTGGCAGACCGTGGGAGGGGGAGATGAAAGTTCTCCCTGTCAAAGTGTTCTCCACATGCAGATGCAGCACATCCTAACTGAGATGAGGAAGGTTACCTGAAGCTGCAAAACAAACATGTCGCCCCCCCCTTCTTATGTGTCAAACTAAATGTAGTGAACTGTTCTTATTTCAATAGCTAAATTTAACTCAAATAAACTGTCATTTGATTACCTGAATTCCTAATAGGAAATTAGGATAGAAAGCAATGCACTTTAAATATCCCAGGTATTCTCTAGGGCTACAGAACCCGCATCAATGGCATGTTTTGACATATCTTTATTTATAGCACAGGCAGATGGTTCCTGGTTTTGTTTTTTCCTCCTTGTCAAGAGCAGTCTATACCGTCAAAAAATGTCATCACAGTGGAGCCGATACCCTGAATCAGATTTACATTTTGGGTCTAAATCAGGAGCTCCGCAACCCCTCCCCCCCCCACAGCTCAGCAACAAACTCCATCGACACGCAAAGAGAAGGGCCCCAAGGAGGAGATCCCTTTCCCACGCGCAGAGCCTGACCCTGAAGGATGGCCTACCGTGAGCCCCCCAGGGCAGCCGGCAAGCGTGGCTTCAAAGGGGGCAGACCTGAGAGCGGCAGGCGGAGACGGGGCTGCCCTTCTGGCCACTGCTGGCATCGGGACACGGGGCCTTGGGTGAGCTCCGTCCTAAACTGGGCGTGGGCCTGTCAATTCCCTTTTAACAGTTTAACTGATTAACACTTCAACTGACTCCCTGCTAATGCCCCACAGCCTCTTGGGACTTTGTAATCCCTGCCAAACTCAACACTTCCTTGAGCAGCCAACTTTCAAAATCAGGGCCCTGATTCGGATAGATGCGTGCCATTAGCCCATATACAGCGACAATCCCCCCCCCCCCAGTACCTTGGCCACGGTGCTGGCCTGCTGATCTCTGGTGGGCGTAACCTATAAAATGGTCCATCGCCACCAATATATTTCCATTGTTTCTACTGTCTACTGTCCAGGTGCTCTGTCCCTACAGAGGCCCACACTGCAAGTCCACTATACAGCATCACACCCGGGACTTTCTTGTGGCAGTGTCCTTCATTCTGGCACAACTACGGGTGAAACAGATCTAGCTTTCCAAACAGTGTTCCCTCAAAGCTGAGTTAGTGTGAGCTAGCTCAAGGTCTTTTAGCTTCCGGCTGACATGTTTTTGTCTTAGCTCAGGAAGGATGGCTCTGAAGCAAACTAATTGATGCAGTAGCCAAATCGCTTGCTCACAACTGTAATGCAAGTAGCTCACAAAGTAGGATTTTTGCTCACAAGACCCCACAGCTTAGAGGGAGCATTGCTCTCAAACCAGATGCAGGTTCTGCATTTTACAGACTTTGACAACCTTGTTATTTTGACCAGACAGGCCTAATGCTACCTCAGAAATAAGAGGTAAGCCAAGGGGCAAGGATGAATACCGTTTCCTTCAGCTGTTTCCACTGGGGTTCATCAAAGCAGTGAGAAGAACTCTGCTGCAGGATCTGGTGCACCTTCAGCTGCAAAATGAAGCTTCTTCTCCGGGACGTTCGCATTTGTGCAAGAGCACTCAGAGCGATCTGCCGGAGAGCCAGCCTCCTCAGGACAGGCTGCAGCAAGGATCTGTGCTTCTGAGTTATATACTTTGAAGACCTGTGAAAAGATCACAGTTCATGAGTGGAGACTGAGAGAGATGTCGAGGAATGTCATAAGCACTGATTGAAACCTGAGTCTCATAAGGCACCTTCGATTGGAGCCTTTGCTCGAGAACGCAGGAGGGTGCGGTGGGGGTGGGTCCAACCATCCTCCAACCATCCAGCAATACACTCTCAGCCTGACTTACCTCACAGGGCTGTTGTGAAATGGAGGAAAGGGGAATTACGTAAACCACACTGGGCCCCCATTGGGGAGAAAGGTGGGGTATAAATGAAGTGAATTTAAAAAAAAATGATGGTCAGCCTTTATTAGTTTAATAGGGTAGGCCAGTGGCGGCCAACCTTTTGGACAGGTGTCTCACAAGACAATTCCAAAGTAGGACAGTGTGCCATCTGGACCACAGACACCTCGGCCTCCATGCTCCAGCGTGGTCCTGCCTTTACTGGCCCTGGAATCAGGCAGCTGCCCAGCACTGAAGGAGCAGGCAGGATGGAGTTGTCGCCCTTCCTGCTTCTGGACCACGCCAGAGGGGCACCAGGCCTATGCCCTCTCACACTCGTCCTCTTGCTTCTTTCCTGGTGTGTCTGGCTACTCGCAGCCCTTGGCATGTTGCCGTCTGGCCACCCACATCATAGACGAGAGATTCAGATGCTTCTCTTTCTTCCCTCTAGCGTCCCATGACCCGGGTAGCCCAGGCGAGCCCAATCTCATCAGGTCTTGGAAGCTGAGCAGGGTTGGCCCCAGTGAGTTGGCCCCAGGAATTCCAGGGTCGCTACACAACGGAAGGCAAAGGCAACCCATTGCTGTTAGTCTCCTGCCTCGAAAACCCCATTGGGGTTGCCATAAGTCAGCTGTGACTCGATGGCAAAAGAAAAAAGCCTTCCCACTTTTCCTGGAATGAAGAGCCATCCTCCTCCATCTCCAGCTTTGGAGTACTGGTTGGTGCCAAGCCCCAATGGAGACTCTTTTACTCCCTTGGCTGTTCCTCTACTCCCTTGTCCCAGACCCCCAGACCTTGTGCAATACTGACCTCAGCAACTGTTTGTTTAGGGGCCTTCTGTCGCTGCAAGGATGTACACTGTGTTTTGAGCATCTATCACTCTAATGGAAAAAACATACTTCACTCTGCTAATCTTCTGCCCGCTGATCCCTTATAAGCCACTTCAATACCGAATGAGTTATGCAGATGTATTTATTTTCAAGCGCAGCTCAAGTCTCTGGCTTTAGATGGCTACTTACGCCTTGCTCAGCCCGCCCAATCTGGTCGTCACACACTGAATAAACTTCTCATTTGTCTCTGACAAACGCCTTTGCATCACAGCAGAGAAGGCATGATCTTCCATCCACAGCTGATTATGGAAGCAGGAAAATTTTTTTGGTAAAGCTGGTTCACAGAATTTTTTCAAATTCAAACATGATCCCCTACAAAACCAACTTATTCCAGTAAGCGACAAACACTCCACCCCCTCCCTGGCCCAACATTTTAGCAGCTAAAATACCTTGACTTCTGGCAGTGATTTTTTAAAATCATGCTCTTTCAAATCTAGATCTTATAAAACAACAAGGCATCAGATACAAAAAGCTGTAATGGACAGTAAATGGTTAATGCTTATCCTGGTCTGAGAACCTTGAGTTAAGCAGAGGGAGAGGATCAAGGAAGATCCTGAATTACAGAAGTGGGATGAGAAGTCCTTCCCAGAGAGAAATAGCTCCTAGTAAAGGGGGGATGATCCCTATCAAATTGTTAAGAAGGAAAACTGGAACTTGTGTGAATGTTCCTGCCTTCATGAACTTATTTCTGAGATGAAGACGCTTATGCTTACTTAAGCAGTAACTGCCAAAGATCTCTCTCCAGTTTTAAAGACCTGCCAGTATAACTAAACAGTTACTTCATTGTGACATACAATCTATATTTATACAAAGCTACCTCATTCCTGTTGCCTGTTCACCTTCTATGTCCTAAACCTGATACCTACCTGACCATTTCCCCTCAAAAGTGAAATAAAGCAATTTGTTAGTTTTGAATCACCATCGGCCTCTTGTGTGCCATTATCAGACAAAGGCAAGAGAAGGGTTTTAGTCAGCCCTTCAGTTCCCTAGGCTGGGTCAGCATATATCCATATACATTTAAACAAGTGGGTGGGACAGACAGATAAACAAAGAATAAAAGGGACTGCCCAGTCAAAGATATAGAAAAATAGAATTTGGGGAAAAGGGGAATTTGTTAAAGAAGCTTATATTTAAATAAGGTTAATTTGAATAAATAAGTGTAATGTAAACCCCAGGCTTCTTGACTCTTGTCGATCTGTGTAACCATACTGGTAATAAAAGCCATGGATGCAGAATACCTATTCTGTGCCCTATTCAAGTGACAGCAGCCCTGCCAAGGTCTGGACTCTAGACCAGTGTTTCTCAAACTGGGGTCCAAAGATCTACAAGGGCTCAGGAGGGCCACAAGACCCTCACAAGAACAGCATACAAGCCGCTCTCATACCCATCTGGCCAACGAGAAAAGGAGCTCTCTCAGGGACAAACTATGAGAGGCTTTTTTAGAACATCTGGTCTGGGTTCCTGGATTCGACCTGCTATCCCTGCAGTGACTCAGCAGCTGTGGAGAAGTTGTTCTATGAGCCGGCAGGGGCCTGATTTGGTTTGTGACTGTGGTGTGGGGGGAGGAAGAGCTCCTGCTTCACCCTGGTGGCAGTTTCCCAAGCTCCCCAAAACCTCAGAGGAGAGTTATTTGCCCCACTTTGGAACTGCACAGGCAGTATCCCAGCCTGTCAGAAAATGTCCCATGTAGTTTGGCCCCCAGATGGCCAGGAACATGGGCAGGGCCTCTCCCCCTCAGCAGAGGGGAGAGTACTAAATGTGTGATAAGAAATAAAGGTGGGTCACATGCTGTACCTTCTGTTCTTGTTGCATTTGTTCTTGGAAGAAAGTCCAAAGCTTTTGCCTCTGGCTCTCTGATTTCTCTAACTGCAGGGCCAAATCCTCCTGCTGTTCCTCTTTCAGAAGTTCGCATTCTTTTAGGGGCAGACTCGTTAAAGCAGGCAGAGTCTGAAGAAACAGCTGAAGAACCAAATCCTCCAAGCTACAAGAGTACTGAGAATACAGCTTCTGCAATGAAGACAAACCGTGATTTCAGAGGCTGATAATCCCTCCCGGCAGCCTCTCCGCTTTTATGCCTTCCTTCATCTTTCTGGGCAGGTCGCTTTCTGCTTTACAACTGTAGAAAGAGCTCATATGGAACGTGCTGCCTGCCTACTGAGTCAGGCACTAGCTGTGAGTTTCCCGCTGGGGGCTCAGCTCCCTGGCGTTTCTGATTTGGACCCGGACCTCAGCAAGTGGGGGAGGAGGGGCTTCTGCCTTCCCATCCACCCTGTTTTCCTGACTCGAAACAGCCCTGGGAGGAGTGCTATTTGCCATGCTGGGGACTGTGCGCGTACTGTTAAGCCACACGCAGCTCTGCCAGGAAAGTGGGGCGGCGGGGGAGGGGAGAAGTCTCCTCCCCTCCCCCATCATAGTCCTGATCTGAATTGTGGGCCCCCCACACTTGAGAAGACAGTTCCTAGTGGGGAACTTGCAGTCAACATCTCTCTAAAAGTCCCCACGGAGCACAAGCATCAAACACAAAAAGCAGTTGGGCCCGACGGCTGCACACACCTGTGCAAAATGCCCCCCATCTCCAACAAAGGTTAAAGTAAAGGTAAAGGTTCCCTTGCTCGAAAGCCAGTCGAATCCGACTCTAGGGTTGCAGTGCTCATCTCCGTTTCCAAGCCGAAGAGCCAGCGCTGTCCGAAGACGTTTCCGTGGTCATGTGGCTGGCATGACTAAACACCAAGGCACACGGAACGCTGTTACCTTCCCACCGAAGTGGTACCTATTTATCTACTTGCAATTTCTTGCTTTCGAACTGCTAGGTTGGCAGGAGCTGGAACTAGAGACGGGAGCTCACTCCATCTTGCGGCACCTGGGTCTCGAACTGCTGAACTACTGACCTTTCACAGACTGCAGTTCAGCGTTTAACCACTTGAGCCACCACAGCTCCCCCAACAAAGGTTACTTCAGAATAAATGCCCAGTAATAACCTAATGCCCTCCCCCTACCCATGAAGCCTCTATATGTATCCTTCCACCAGGGGAAAACCTGGGGCGCTTGGAGCTGGACACCCGAAGAAACCCAGATGGACAGCGCCAGCGACATCTCAGGGCGACTGGAAATTAAGAGAGAGACAGAGAAATGACACCTTATAGAGATCTACAGTGGCTTCACTGGTTTCACAGTCACTTTCTTCTTCCAACTTGCATCGCGCTTTTCTCTGCTGTTCTGACATTTCGTGATAAACCTAGAGTTGAGAGAAGAGAACCCTGGGTCATTCCGTCTTCAGAAGGACACTCTCCTGCAAGACATACCTCCATGCTTCTGGGAGCCCACTCCACGGCCGTTATGTTTGCAGCTAGGTGAGAGTTACACCAGGCTCTAGGCCAACCACACCCCTTGCTGCTGGGTGGATCCTGCCGCTACCTGACTGCTACACTGAGCAAAGTTTGTTTATTAAAACACTTAACTCCAGCTGGAAGTCCTTCTCCAATCTCAGGAGATTTGCCACAAATTAAAGCGGCTCTCCCGTTGGAGGAGGCCTCCTCAGGTTGGAAGGGAGGCTCCTTGGAGGGTGGCTGGATCCACCCTACTCTGTATTCACTAGAAGAGACTGATTCCAGATCTGCAGTTGCAAATGTCATTCTCCTTAAAATCCAAACCCTCCTGATATTCAACTGCAGTAGACACAGATCAATGAAGGCCAAATCCCACCATTACACTCCTACTTTGGGGGGGAAGGGGCACCTGCCTGATGGATGCATTTGCTATTGATATGGACAGGATCTGCTGCAACATCTGCCATTTTAGCAGGCATCTACTGACATTTTCAGCAGAAAGGTCAAACACAGAGCTGGCAAGGAAACGCACCCGGCATCCAAGAGGGCAAAAAAGAAAGAAAGAAAGAACAGAAAAGAGAAAGAATGCCATCTCACAGCAGCCTGGAGAGCCTGACTGATGTGCTTGGGGAAGGTCTGTGGTTCAGTGACAGATCGTCTGCCTGGCATGCAGAAGGTCCCAGGTTCAATCCCCGGCATCTCCAGTTAAAAAGGACCAGGCAGGAGGTGATGGGAAAGACCTCTCTCTGCCTGAGACCCTGGAGAGCTGCTGCCAGTCTGGGTAGACAATACTGATTCTGATTCAGTAGAAGGCAGCTTCATTTGTTCATGTGCCCTTTGGAGGCACCGTTAGTACTTGCCACCTTAACACAATGAGTGTGCGTGTTTGAACAGCTAGGACCCGCTGAACCTTTGTTGGTCTTAAAGGTGCCACTGGACTAAAAGTCCGTTCAAAGATAATTTATAACATTGTCTTCTCTCTCTCTTTTTTGCAATGTTTATTTTCCCAATACTGTTTTGATTATATGATGTTTTCGTGAATTCCTGTGTGCTTGAAGGTTCTTATTTCTGCAACCTGTTTTATTGGAATAAAAATGAACAGACTTTTTTTTTTTAAGCAGTCCATCAGCAATTCCAAGGAACTCTCCAGCTAAGACAGGTTTTCTCAAGGGCTGCAAGCTCTGAACTTCCTGTCCTTGGAAGGCAGTTTAGGAGCTTCAGCAACAGCCGGCTAGTGTGCGAAGGCAGGAAACCCAGACCTGCAGCCTCTTGGCGGATTTGGGGGGTTCCCTCCCTCCCAGCTCAAGTATTCCAGGCCAATAATTCACAGCACTCTGCCACACTCCAGCACAGTCCTCACCTCTTGCTAAGAGCTCCCGGAGGAGATCAGGGCCCTGCGGGACCTGTTACAGTTCCGCAGGGCCTGTAAGACGGAGCTCTTCCGCCAGGCTTTTGAATAGGAGCCGCTGCCGCCACTACTACCACCAACAGGGTCCTGCACAGCAGCACTGCTGGATGAGGCTGATTGGCCAACAAACATCGGGGCCACAGCATCCTCCCTTTTTGACTTTTTGACTCAAGGGTATGTGCAATGGGGAGAGAGGGGGTCAGTCACGCGGGATCCTGGGGCATTGCCCACTGTATTTAACTGTACTAACTGTTTTAAAATGTTTTATTGTGTTTTTATTGCACTGCGTGCCTTACTGTGGAACTACGGTTTTGTATTGCACCCGTACATTGTAAGCCGCGCTGAGCCCGCGCGCGGGGAGGGCGGGGTATAAATAAAATTAAATAATTAAATAAATAATAAATAAATCTAATAGTGGAGTGGTGGTGCATGCCACGGTGAGCAGAACTATCCACAGACCCTGTGGAAGGCCCATTACCTAATCTCAGGACTGTCGGGTCCCGCCATGAGGTTATTTTCCCTTCTGCTGCAGCTGTGTTTCGGTTTTGCTCCTTATCTGCCTGCTGGCCTTGAGTGCTCATTGCTTGGGTGTGAATGCCTCCGATTCTCCCGCTCACCCCTGAACCCTTAAACAGTTCCCCACGTTTTGTCTTCATTGCTTACTGGCCTCTAGGTGTCAGGGGGTCTTGTATGAACCCACTATATTTACCATTGCCATTTTGTATGCATCATTCCTGACTCAATGGGTGCGTTCAGACGCGGCATTTGTAACGGAATAGGTGACGATTCCAACCGGTGTACTTACCGGCGTTCACATGGCGAACATCTGCCTCCCGTCCCTAACCGTTACAAAGCCGTTTACCCCGTTGTACTCTGCCACTAGGTCCCAAGTGGTGGTAAACAGAGTGCAACGGTGGCTTCCGATACAAACCGGCGTCTGATCGCTCTCCACCGGTGCCTAGCCACTTCCGTCGGAAGCCTGAGGCTTCCAGCTTTCCCCCGCCATTTTTTTAAACTCTAAGCGATATGCGCTCGGGCGAAGCTTCGCCCCGAGCGTTTGTGAAGGAAAAAAAAAAGCCCTTACTTTACCGTCCCGGAGGAGTCCGGGACTGAAACGAGGCCAGGTTGGGCTTTAAACTTTAAAGGTAAGTGCTTACCTTTAAAGTTTAAATGTAAGGGGGGGGTTGAGCATGCGCAAAAATCGCCATTCTCTGAATGGCTGCCTGTGCGCATGCTCAAACAGTCCTTTAAAAAAAAAAAACGCCGACGCCCGCAGCGTGTGAGCGGGCGTCCACCGGAGGGCTCCGCAGACAGGAGGGTGAGTCTGATCGCGTTTCTGTCTGCATAAACTACACCGGTTCCAACCGGTGCAGTTTATGCCGGCAGAAACGCCCCGTCTGAACGCACCCAATGAGTCCAAGCCGACTTCATCTTACTCTGATCAATAAAGCTGAATCTAGTTAAGAACCTGCTGTTGACACTGAGTCATTGACGTACCTGACAAGGACTCCCCCAGTGTCCAGAAAAAACTGACTTGGGCCCCGTTCACATGCCGAATTTGCTGCGGGAGAGCCACAAATGCTGGGCAGATTTTCAGGGCGCGATCACACCGCAACATCTGGCAAGCGTAGTGCACCCGTGGCCAACCGTGGCATGCCGCCGAAGCTGCGCGGTTCAAAAGTATCTCAAGAAATGTACTAGCACATGGTTTGCCATGGGCTGCCTACAGAATTGTTCCGTGTGATCGCGCCAGCGTGCGGCTTTCCTCCAGCTGTCCTCCTTGACGCGCACGTGCTGACGGACGAAACCGCGGTGTGCTGCCGTCGCATCTGATCATTTTCTGGCGGGTCTAATTACGCTGGCGCAAAGAGCCACGCCTCCCCCCGCGTTATCTGGCCCGTGTGACCGGGGCCAAGGTAAATTAACCAAAAGATACAGATCCCTGAGCACACTCCAGGATGCAAGGAATGTTGAGAGCGGCTGAGAGCCACTGAAAGGGAGAGCTGGGGAACCTGGTCTGCGAGTTCCGGAGGGTCCTGGAGAGGGAAGCAGGGCTCAGAGGAGGGGCACTTCCCAGTTATTTTACCACCTTGGCAGTTCCTTGTGGGCTTCCAGCTTTTCTGAAGAGCAGTTCACAAGGGTCTGCCACTACTGCCACAGGTACCTTCAGAAATGCATCGAGGCTTCCCAGCTGCTGGCTTCCGTTGAGGAGATTTCTCTGCTCTTCTTCCTGAGCTTTTTTGAGACTTTCCATTTTCTCTGCACCACTCCTAAGGCACTCCTGGATTAGATCTTTGCCCAGCTGGATACACTCTGAAATGCAGAATTTTAAAGATTTGTATTTGTAGCCCAGGGGAGGGAGGGAGGGAGGGAGGGAGGGAGGGAGAGAAAGCGAAAGAGAGACCGGTCCTCCAGGCAGTCGATCCAATCTCCTTGCCAGCTTGGATGCAAGAGGTGGAGAGTGTGGAAACCTGCCTGAATACCCTGCGCCTGGTCATCGTGACAGCGGGAGGTAAGCCTACCCCTCCGGCACAGAAGGTAAAACCGGTGCGGTCGACTTGAGTGTACCTGAGAGCAATGCATGCGCCAAGGGCTATGCCTGAAGTGTGGGGAGCGGGGCCATTTCGCAGCCGACTGTGGTGGAGCGGGGCTCGGGAAGCAGGGACCGACCGACCCGGTGAAAACACGCATTGCTACCCCGGCCAAGAAGTCAACGGGGAAACCGAAATTCGCCAAAGCTCTGCAGGCCGCTCCTGAGGAATTGGGAGACGACTCCAGCAAGGACGACCCCGAGCCAGCGGGAAAAGGCCTGGTCCTGCTGTAAGAGCAGCAGAGCCTGATCCCGGAGGCGCCTAAAGTGGTGAGCAACTCCCCCCCCCTTATTTTTTGTGACTGTGACTCTGATTAACCCAGCCCTGGGAATGCATATCCGCGTAAGAGCACTCATTGACTCGGGGTGCGGGAGTGATCTCATCAACCCCTCCTTAGTTACAGGGCTGGAGGCAGGGGTGGTGAATCTGGAAGACCCATTGATTTTTACCCAGATGGATGGTTCTATTATGAAAGAACCGTGTGAATACGAGACTGTACCTTTGCGCTTTGGGGCGGGGGACCACTGGGAGGAGCGGTCGTTTGTGATCACCCCAGCCACCAGATTCCCGCTGGTGTTAGGAGGTCCTTGGTTGCATGGGCATGATCCTTACATTCTATGGGATGAAGGGAAGGTGCAGTTCATCTCGCCTCGGGGTCACGGGCACCAGTGGAACCCACAATGGGGCCAGCAGCCATTAGTGGAAACCCCTAGAGTGTGTTTGGCTCACGAAGAGCTGCAATTCATTCCCCCGGAGTACCGTGACTTGGCCAGGGTGTTTGAGGAGGAAGAAGCCGATGAGCTTCCGCCCCATAGACACTCGGGACTGTAGCACTGAAATACTACCTGGCCAAAAACTACCCAAGTTTCGTTTATTGTCTTAGCCATTGGCCATAACAGCACAAAGTAAATCAAAGCACAACAGAAATATACATCAATAACTTGCAGTAAGTCCTAGACCCCCTTATATTTTTTGCTGCCAGTGCAAACAAAGCCATTCTGCTAGTAACATGTGCATCAGTATCAGAAAGCAAGAACACGGTCAAATCCTGCTCAGCAGTTCCATTATACAGAGGTACAATAGGATAAATAAACCTTTGCCTAAGTGATTCGTGCCATAAACATCTCAGAATGTAATGCTTGACATCATCCACTTCATCCATACCACATAGGCATATTCTAGAAGCGGCAGGGACACCCTGAAAGCGGCCAATACAAACCATTAAAGGTATGGCATGGAACCTTAGGGCAGTAAAAGCCCTTCTCAGCTCCAAAGTAGTTAGTTTCTCAAGATATACAGTCCTACAATGGTCTCTTTTGAAGCTCTTATACAAGGGGGCTGTACGGCAACTTACTACCATATGTCGATTCAAAAGCCCATCCTTATTAAATACCCATTCCTTCAATGTAGCCCTTTGGTTTTCGTTTACCAATAGGTCATCAGGGATTGAGTATTTCAATAAAATAGAGTTCAACACTGGTATGGAGTACATAAGAATAACTGGCATGTATCCCAAGGCATCTAAGGATGAAATGAACTTTTCCCAAATCTGCTGCTCATTAGCAAGTGGATTCCTTTGGTGCTGAGAAGTATCAATTCAGCCTTAACTTCTGTATGGGATGGGAAGTAAATGTATGAAGCTGAGTATGTCTTGGCACATGAATGGAAGGTATGATAAACAAGACTGTCACCCAGGCAATTTTAAGTAATAGTTGTATGTCCAAATTGCCACCTAGTCCTAGCTTTTGGACACCTAGTGGACACAAATTGGGTGCATGAAATTTAATTAGTGAGTCAAGACACTTGCGATGGACTGTCAAGGGTTAATGCCTCACAGAGTCTGAGAACCTCTGAGTGACAGGCTGTACAAATGGAATTCTGTGGAGAGCATCAGAAATGACAGTTGGGAACTGACAGTCGAAGAAAAGACAGTTTAGCACTGACTGAGGACTGGGAAGGAGACAAGAGGAGCCATAGTCTGCTTCTGTCTAGAGAATCAAAGGCTGCTGCTAGATCGATAAAGGCAGCATACAGGGCCTTTGTGGGGCCCCTAACCGCCGAAGAGGCCAGGGTGTATAAAGTTTGGCAGTGTTCAATAGTTGAGTTCTCTTTTTTGAATCCGATTTGAAGGGGATGAATTAAATTGTTCTCTATAACTTGATCTTCAAGTTTATTTTTTAGATGACTACTATATAATTTGGACGCAACTGACAGTAAACTAATTGGCCTATAATTACACGGATCACACTCTTCACCCTTCTTATAAATTGGGACAATAATACTTGTGGTCCAACCCTTAGGGAGTCTGCCATTTCTATCAATCAAGGTAAAAAGCTTAGCCAGCATTGGGGCCCACCAATCAATAAATGCTTTAAAGCACTCAATTGGAATTAAGTCCTCGCTGGGAGATTTACCACTGGGTGTGGATTCGATCAATGACCTCACCTCACGCTCTGTTACCTCTGGCCAATGTGGTAGTGCAGAAAGAGAGGGATTTACCTGGATATTCTCACAATCACAACTAAAAACCTTGGCGAAATGGGCAAACCAGGTCTCAGCTTGGATATTAGAACCCCTCCTCATTGATTTACCACTAAAGCCTGCTGAAATTAGGCGCCAGAAGCTACCTTCATTCCTACTCCTAACCACCTTTTGGAGCTCCGCCCATAGTACATGCTATCAAAAACTACCCAAGGGGCGCATTTATGCGATGGGGCCAGCAGAGAAAGACAAACTACGCAGATTTATCGACAAAAACCTGGCTTGGGGTTTCATCAGGCCAGCCTCTTCCCCTTTTGCGGCTCCGGTACTGTTCAGGAAAAAGAAGGATGGGGGTTGAGGTTGTGCACGGACTACTGGGGTTTGAACGCGGTATCTTCAACCAATGCTTACCCCATGCCCTTGATCACAGACTTACTTGCCGAAGCGACTAAAGGGAAAATTTTCTCGAAGTTGGACCTCCGAGATGCTTACTTTCGGGTCTGCATCAGGGAGGGGGATGAACATAAGACTGCCTTTAATATCCCCCTAGGCCAGTTCAAGTATCGGGTGATGCCGTTCAGTCCTCAGGGGGCCCCGGGGGTCTTCATGAATCTAATCAATGAAGTATTGCACAAGCATTTGTTCAAGGGGGCGCTTGTTTACCTAGATGACATCTTGCTGTATTTCCCCCACCTTCCCTAACACGTGAAACTGGTGAGGGAGGTGCTGACCACGTTGCATAAGCACAAACCGTTTGCGAAGCTGTCCAAATGCGAGTTTCAAAAGACGCACATTGACTTTTGGGGATATCGAATCTCCGATAGGGGTTTGGAGATGGATCCGGGGAAAATACTTGCTTGTCAGCTCTCTAAGGCTGATCCTGCCCTGAGCAGGGGGGCCGGACTAGATGGCCAGTGTGGCCCCTTCCAACTCTGTGATTCTATGGCAGGGTATGAGCTTTCATGAGTCACCGATCACATCTTCAGAGATATCTGAAGAATCTGAAGACGTGAGCAGTGACTCCCGAACGCTCCTCCCCGGCCACAACTTTTGTTAGTCTTTCATGTGCTCCTGGACTCTTGCTCTTTTCTGCTGCTACAGACAGACAATCCTGGCACAGAACCATCTTGATCAATGAATCTGTAGTTCTATGACTCCTACAGCGTAGCAGAGGGGGAAGCAGCGAAGGAAATAACCGGGGGCAGATGATGCATGCGGGAGGGGAGGGGATTAAAGACTCTCAGAGGTCCCATCCGCAGGTCAATCGACGGTCTGACAAAGGAAAGGATCCTGCTGCGATCGCACTGGAAGCCACAAGCAACAGTAATGAACAAGGACTGTGGGAATGGGGGGTGGCAAACAGGGGGAATGCAGGAGTGCAGTGGGGCCTGAAGGGAATGGGGGTCTGGGTTCTCAGTTGTCCATCAGTAGCCGAACAGAGCCAGCAGCCCCCTCTATGCCAGGAGTCCTCAGTAAACTCACCGTCTTCACAGAGTTCCACCTTCCCCCAAAAGGCCTTCTGGATTCCTGCCAAGAGCTCCTCCCTCTGCTTCACAGTGAGGCTCTTCCTTTGAACTAACAGATCCAGCATGGGAGATATTGCCTGAAGTCTGCATTTACTTTCTTCCTGCAGCTGCGTCTTCAGCAAACCAACGATTTTCACCAGTTGCTCCCAGTTGAACATTCTCTCTTGGATGGCCTGAAAATAAAACGTGCCTCACATTAACACCAAAGAGGGTTAGAATGCCAGACTAGGGTCTGGGGGACCTGGGTTCGAAGCCCCACTTGGGCCATGGGAGCTCCCTGGGTGACCCGGAGCCAATCAATGCCCTCTCAGCCTCGCCCACCTCACAGGGTGGTTGTGAGGATAAAATGGAGGAGAGGAGAAAGATGTCAGCTGCTTTGGGTTCCCACTGAGGAGGAGGAAGGTGGGGTATAAATGAAATGAAATAAATAAGCAAACACAAAGGCCCCCCCCCCCCCAGCCATATCCTTGCAGGGTTTTGCCATGTGGCTGGCTTCACTGGAGCCGCTGAGCAGCACATGCTTGGCTCCCTCTCTGGGCACAATGTGGCCGTCAGCAGCCGTCTCAGAAACACAACCTGATCCCACGCGCCTTTAGATCCGACAGAGCTGCAAATGCCTGATGGATCTAAAGGGAACGATCAGACAGCAACATCTGGGAAGCGTCCTGCAGTCGTCGGCAACCCCTGCTGCTCCACCACGGAAGCGGAGTTAAAAGACACCGGGGGAAAGTCCGGTACTAAACGGGTTCCCATGGGCCATGGATGGAATTTCCCGTCTGATCATGCAAGCAGGCATTCGTGCCATCGGGATGGTCTGATCAGGCCATCCTGGCTCAGTGCCACCCCCCACCCCCTTTGCAGTATGTGCATCATCGCATACTCCACAGGAGGCCCTCAGTGCAGGGGTGTGAGTCCTCATCTAAGTGCATGGGAAACAAACGGCCAACCCTCCCCCCGCCCACTCACCCACAGTTGCGTCTGATCACAGTTACAGGCCGCCCCTGCAGCTACAATAGGAGGCGTGGTCTTGTAACTGCGTGTCAAATTCCTCCAGAGGAAATAGCCTCACTCCCCACCAATGTTCCCTCTAAGCTGTGATGTCTCGTGAGCAAAAATTCTACTTTGTGAGCAACTGGCATTAAAGTTGTGAGCCAGCGATTTGGCTACTGCATAGATTAGTTTGCCCTGGAGCCATCCCTTCCTGAGCTAAGACAAAAATGTGTGAGCTGGAGGCTAAAAAACTGTGAGCCAGCTCACACTAACTCACCTTAGAGGGAACACTGCTCCCCACCCCACGCTTCAACTGGTGCAACCTAAATCAGGACCTCAAATAACCCCCCCCTCTCACACAATGGATTAGTCTAATTCTCATACCACAAAATGGGAATTGGGGAAAGAAAGTGCCGGGTGCGTGGGTCCTGCAATGCACCATGCTCTTGTGAACTGTACTGATAGGAGGGCCGGAGAGCAGGGACCGCTTCGGATCGCAGCTGGGCGCCTCCGCCTTTTCTCCTCCACAGACTGCCTGCCCTGGTCCCCGTTCTCCCAGCCCCTCATGGCTGACTTGCTTAACAGCGTGATCACAAGGGCATTTTTGAAAAGAGGCCCAGGTTGTCACCCTCTTAATGGAACAGGATTGTCATCCACTGCAATGACCATCATTGGTATCCCCTGCTTTCTGTGCCTGGTCCTCTACTTTCTGTATTTCTTATAGCTTACATTGCCTGAGGCAGTTTTTCGTTTACGCCGGTCCCTTAATTCTGCAATCCTGGCCCAACTGATTCCTGAGCATCTTGTGCTGTCTGACTGTGCTGCTTGTATCTCCTGTCATCTGCCTTGAGTCCGAGCAAGAAAGGTGGGCACGAAAGAACGTAAATAAACAAACAAACAAGGGCCGTGTGGATATCTGTTCAGCACTGCCACAAACCTTCAGGAACGAAGTACACGGCTGGCAGTGGGAATGGGAGCAACCGCTTCATTTACACTGAACGCTCCCACATTAATCTCCCTAGACGGAGCTGAAAAGGAACGTCTGTTTCTAAAATGGTTGAAGCAATTCTTCGGAATGAAAGAAGACGGGCAACCAGAAGAGGGCGCAGCAGCGAGTTTAGAAGAAGAGGACGAAGACCCAACAGGAGCAGAAGGAGCCGTGGCCAGAGAAACATATGATCTACGACTAAGAGTTCACAAGTAGCTCTCAAAGTCTCAAAGATTATGACTGAAGAAGATATGAGACTTTGTACACACTGAGAAGCTAACAGTCTATTACTAAAATTGGACTTACTAACTCCTAAATTCATTGTTTTAAACGAAAAGCTATGTGTTTTTTATGACTAACTGAATACTAACTGTATTTGACCTTCCTTTCTTGGGTTTTTAGTTATAGTGTGGGTTTTCAGTTACTGTCCTGTCTCCTGGGGTTTTTAATTTTTTTCCCCTTCCCAGTTTTTCTTTCTTCCCTCTTTTTTATGTAGTTGTGTAGTTGTAACAAAAACCAATAAAACTACCCTGGTTTCAGGGGATTAAAAAAAAGGAAAAAAAAGAAAAGGAACGTCTGTTTCTGTTGCTGAAATTCCAGACTCTTAACTTAGATGGTCACACCTCCGTTCGAGGAGAGGGCTGCAAAGCTTCCAAAAAAGGCCCAAAGCCAGATGGCTTGCCGCCATTTTGCCAGCTCCTGGGGTCCCAGAGTGGTGCTCTGGCGCGCTCCGGCCCCAAAAGACCCCTGGATGGCTCACTCCCTTTTGGCAGCCCTACCGCCAGCAGCCTCCTCTGAGGCCTGTTCAGGGCTGCAGCCGAGCTTCCGAAGCACCGCCTGGCGCAAGCAACGGCCCCCCCCTCCCCTCCAGGACGATTTTGAGTGCAGGCCCTTGACAAGCCTTACCCTGGCCTGTGAATCCTGAGTGTCTCTGAAGGACTCCTCCACAGCCATCACTGCCTCCGTCAGGCGCATCCGGATTTTCTTTGCTTTGGCGCTTGTGCACTTGGATTGATCCAGGAGAAAGAGCAGGGCACGGTCGGTCTGCTTCCAGAAAGCCTCCATCTAAGTGTTAGGAATTATAAGCTTTAGTATTTTAAAATCACAAAAGTTTCACTGTGAGAGAAAGAGAGTGTGTGTGTGGGGGGGAAGAAATCGCTAAAGAGGACTGGGCTCAAGAACCTGGTGCTTTCAGAGGGCTGCAAATGTCCTATTCTGGAAGCTTCCTGACGGAGGGCTTTTTCACTCCAGAGGACAAACTCAGGATACTTTGCAACCCACCCCGAGGGACCCCGGGGCTCACTGTCTGGGAACCGCCGCGGTAGAACATATCCTTGTCCTTCACAGCCCCTGTCGACAGCCTGAAAGGTATCGATCTCAGCTGCTCACCGAATGGGTGGCATGTGATGGAGAAAAGAGGGAAAGAAATCCACCCCCGGAGGGTGGTGAAGATTGGGGTAATTATTCAGCACAGGTGTGATATTTTGTTCTGGACTCAGAGGACAGGGCGGCTGGGGAAGACGGATACTGGCTGGGGACACTTTGGGACGGCCAGCTTTCCACCCGGCTCCTCGTGTTTTAGTGATTAAAAAAAGGGGTCACCTCTCAACTAGAGCTGCTCCTCAGTTCTGCTCCAAGGGGGATCTGCTGGCCAGCCCCAAACAGAAGCCAGCCCCCAAACACAGGCCAGCTGGGACCTTCCATAGCTTCCCCCTTTCGGGGTAGTGAAAGAGAGCGGCTAGCCCGAGGTCCCCCCATCCAGGGCTTCACAGCAAAGCGGGGACCTGGGCCTGTGTGCTCTCCCACTTCTCAGCTGGGACTCTAGCCCACTGGCTCTCGGGGATCTTCCCTGAAGCGGCAGGTGTCAGCCAGGCCTTTCTCAAGCCCCGGCTGCCATGGGAGTGGGGGTGACTCTTGAATGTTTGGTTTCATTTCTGCTGTGTCTTCTGTGTTTCTATTATCTCTGTCTGACCTTCAGTGTCTGGTGTAGCATTTCTCCTGGGAAAAGTAGCCCGTTACTTTGGCGGGTTTCTACCTGGCCTCTGATTGGACCTGAGCCATCAGGGGACCCTTATGAACAATGTACATCTGCTTGCTTCTCGAGCTTTAGGCCAGTTCTGACACTGAAAGTGTTAAAGATATCTGCATACTCTCAAAGTCTTAATAAACTTTACTTCTTTGAATGAAAGCTCTTGGGAACTGATTGCTGCAGGGGTCTGACCATGGGCGGTTTCAAGAGTGCCCAGAAGCCTCCTGGGCTGGCAACAAATAGGGTGGGATTGTGGTGTTTGGCCAGCCCAAGACGCTTCTAGGCATGCCCAGCACAGAGTCCAACACTGCTGGAAGCCTACAGAATCTCTAGTTTCCGGATACATTGACCTTCATCCAGACTGGAACCAGTTGTTCTGCCCCCCCCCCCAGATGTCCGTCCTGCACTAGGCCGAAGGAAGATTCAGGTGGGGTCGCCGTGTTGGTCTGGAGCAACAGAACAAAGTCTGAGTCCAGACTGGGCATCTTGAAGACCAAAAGAATTTAATTCTGGGTATCTGAAGAAGTGTGCATGCACCCGAAATTTATACCCAGAGTTAAACTGTGTTGGTCTTAAAGGTGCCTCTGCACCCAGACTGAAGCAGAAGGAAGTATTGCTAAGATCACGGTTTCACAAAGGAGCACCCAGAGCTTGGAACGTGTTCAGAGCTTCCAAAAACCGGCTTCGGCAACAGTCAACTCTTCCAAAGCACAGTGCAGACTTTAAAAAAAAATCAACATCTGTCTTCATGTATCTGATTTAAAAAGTAGCTTTTTAAAAACCCGAATTAACGTTTCAGGCACTGAAGATCATCAAAGTCATTGAGATAATGTGATAAATAGAAAGAGGCTGAAATATCGCCTATGCCTGGAGCATGTTCCCACCCCACCAAGAACCAGGTTTGGAAAAAAACACACCCCAAACTGAGGCAGCAATACTTTGTTCCCTCAAAAACAATCTCGATACAGATCAAAGACGAAAAGCCCACTGATACCTATAATAATAATATCACTGTGGTGTTAGGATATTTTTGAAGCCGGTTAAAAAGCTAGGGGGCTTTGATGAAGACACTTCTTAAAGGGGAAGCGGGTGATTACATTGTCTAGGACGTGATCCGCATATCCCTTCTCGTTCCTTTCCACGTCATCCAGGGTTTGATATTCTGTTTCTTGCATTCCGGAGACCTCCATGTTCAAGAGTCTGGAACTGAGCTGGGTTTGCAGCTCTTCAAATGCCTGAGAAAGGAATTACAACACAAGGGATGCAGTTACACGGAGCTTTTGCCACTCTACAGAGACGGAAGATACGCAGATTTTCCGGGCGCGATCAAACCGCAACATCTGGGAAGTGTAGAGCTCCCATGGCTAACCCGAGGCTTCCCGCCGAAGATGCGCCGTAAGAAACTACTACTTCCGAGGTACTAGTTTCCGGACACAGCGGGGCAAGGGCGGGCGTCTGATCACGTTTCTGGTGGTAGCTCGTGGCGCCCGCCCATGTCCCGTCGCGAAAAGGTTCCCCCCCCAAGTCTTTGGGTAGTCTTTGCTGTGCTGCAGGATTGACGTATGATCGGCACCTCCCTCCGAACCACGGGACATCGGTGGGACGTTTGATCTGGCGGCCGCGTGGTAGTTCGCTCCGGGGCAAACAGCCACGCCTCCCCCCGGCGATATTCGGCCCGTGTGACCGGGGCCAAGGTTTATTAAATCAGAAGAAAACGTATCTGGCTGATTTGTTCGAGGAAGCGAGCTGTTCTACCATTTCTCCTGCCCTAAACAGGGGTGCGCAAGATCCCCACTGAGGACAAACACTCCGGGGAAACCAGCCACAGGTGAGGGGCCAGCGGATTCTGCCAAGTAGCGGGATCCAGAGGGACACTCACAGCACCATGACGCAGCCTGCCTTCCCAGTGGAACAGGCCAAGAGAGGCAGTGGTGGGGTGGGTGCTGGCAGCCTGCACCGCACAGAGCTGAAGGCCCAAAACCCCAACCCCTTTCTCCTGACCAGGAGCACTACGGAGACTCGAAGCGCTCACCAGACCCTGAGGCCCGCCACCATCCAGATCGCGTTTTGGAACTATACTGGTTCATTTGGTTGGAGATTCCTACCGGAGTTGTAACGCTCTCCTCCACATCTATCCTGGAGGTTTGGCTTAAGGGAGAAGCCTTGTCAAAATGACCTGCAATGAAACTCTCCGAAAAGGATGGCTCAGGAACCACAGGAGAGACCAGCGCAAAGTCCTGATGGCACCCCAATCCCAGGCAGGGTCGCCTCTGGGCTGGAGAACTAAAGGCCCCGCTGCTCAGAATGAGATCCTAAAATCAAGGATACATCTGATGCACCACGTTTGTCAATCTGTCTTCAGCAGAGAACCCTTTACAACCTCCGGTGAGTGAGCAGGCGGGCCTCGGTGCGCAGCCAGCCTGCAAAAGCAGCATTTTCCGGCCCGTGTGACCGGGGCCTAAGATAGTTATTTGAAATGTGATTATCTTTAAATCTCATTTATTCAATTACGTTTGAGAAATGTTAAGAGGAGCATTGATTTTCCTTGCGTGTGGTCTTTCAGTATCTTTAGGGTTAACGTTCTTGTCTCTGCTTTATATTATCTTGTTTAATAAAAAGAGTTATTTCTTTTTCAATAAAAGATCATTAACTTGCTGAAAGTTTCTGCCTGATTGTCTGGCGCAAGGTTGAACACAGAAACTGATGTATTAGAGAGACTGGATTGTAACCCAGACAGTAGAAATTAATTTTAATGACATGATAGTTATGAATTTATGAAATTATAGTTTATAGGGTTAGATGGGCACTCTTTTTCTTGCTGTTACTCTGCATTAAGCTACATCTGTTATACTGATTGAGACATTTGGAATTATGGTTGTTATTAATTTAAGACTTCACTCTTCATTACAGTTACTGATATACATTATTGCTAATATTAATAAAATTAATAAAACTGGGTTTTTTTTAAAAAAAAGAACTGACTTATAAATATTGTACTATTGCAGATAAAGTTGCCCCTTTTGAAGTCTGTGAAAACTACTTGGCCAGTGAGAATAATTCTCACAAAATAAGTGGCTCAAACCTTTGAAAGGATATGGGATAATTATTCAGTTACACCACAAAAGTATTGCCAGCCATCAAGCCTCAATTTCTGTCAGTAAAAGGTGGCGGGGGGCAGGGCCCTTTCCAGAGCTGCTTTGGCTTTGGAAGGAGGCAGGGCTCATTTCCAGCCATAACGAGCAGGAACGCCATTCCGGCAGTAAGAAGGCCCAGGAGCTGCAAGCCCCGCCCCCAGCCATCAGTGGCCAGGAGCAAGAGGCGTGGGAAGCAGCACATGCTGCCTCTGCTTTCAGCCACCACCACCACCACCCAGAAGGCAGGGTACGTTGGTGGGGGTGAGGGTGGGGGCTTGATCGGGTGGGGTGGGTGGGAGAGGCGGGGGCGGCCTGGCTGGTGTGGGAGGGGGCGGGGGCTTGATCGGGTGGGGGTGGGAGAGCCACAGGCAGGGCGCCAGTGGTCTGGCTGGAGCGGCGGTGGCAAGGGGGCTTGATGGGGGAGGGGGCTG